ACAGACCTCTCCGTACTCTAGAAGTGGGAAAACTTGCTTAAAGGGGAACACCTTTTTTTTTTTTTTTACATTGGGCCCTTGATTTTACGTTATTACATCATGTTCTACTCACCCATATGAGTTTTGTGTCATTTGGAGCCGTTCTGAAGATATTCGGTTAGGTTATATCCAAGTAACGTCTTCCTATGGGCAACAACTTGAAGGCACAAACTGAACTGTTCATAATTTATCATTTATGGTACGCCAGCATTCATAACATGTAGGCAAATCACTGTCCCCCAGACACCCACGATTATATTTTTTATATTAATATCTTTTAAAAACAAAGTGTGTATGACGTTATCCGCGCACGCCGGCTACAGTTCATTCATCCTGTCCGCTGAACTGCTGCTGGTTTTACTCACTCGAAGATGTCTAGTGCTACTATCACAGATTATCTCGCTCTCCATATGGAATTTAAAGATTCAGATTAGCTCGCCGTTTGAATAGAAGGGGTAGAGCGTAGCCGCCTGTGGCCCGGGCTGCCTCCAGTCCGGCGTGCGGGGAAGACGTTACTTGGATATAACAACCGAATATCTTCAGAACGGCTCCAAATGACACAAAACTCATATGGGTGAGTAGAACATGGTGTAATAACGTAAAATCAAGGGCCAAATGTAAAAAAAAAAAAAAACGGCGTTCCCCTTTAACCTTTGTGCATCAACTACTTATTTTCCTCTGTAATTTATCCCAATTAAGTTTCAAAATGAAAAAAAAAATATTGTGAATAGTTTGATTGACTTAAAAGCACTTAATTACATTTAGACTTAGACAGACTTTATTATTATTTTGTCCACACAGAGTATATACTTAATGAAAATTTGTTCAGTAAGCTGTCAATACATTTCCATTTTTAAAATGTAGCAGTGATAAAATGTAAACATGGTTATCAAATATAAATATTAGACTAGTATATGATTTCCAGTTTTCCAACGTTCAGCGTTTTTTTTTCCAACTCCATTTTATGCAACATTCAGCAGTCTAATGGCGGTGGTAATTGATCTAAACAGGAAGTTTAGATGCTTTTTTAACTCTTATCAGAATCAGACAGCTTATTTTAATTTAGCCATTGATTTATTGTTATAGGTTGTTACTTTCACTTTGTTTTTTTCTAGCAAAAAAGAAGGACCAATAAAAAAAAGTCCACTGAAATCAAAAGTAAAAAATCCAACTTTTTCTTGTCATAATTACCTTTTTAGGGCCCCGATTCTCTTTTAAATTTTCCAAATAGGGATTGGATGAGCTTTAAACTCACGTTGTTGGACTAATTTAGTCTTTTTCACAACAGAGTCAGATGGAAAATTTACCAACTTTGTGTTCAAGGATTCTTTTGTCCTAAAAAATTGTAAAATTGATCTTTTAAACCCGCTTTTATTGGTCATCTGCTGGATAAATGCAGACACTTCTTCCTAAATTAAACCGTAAAAGATTTCCTCTTTAAAGTCTCTACTTTTAGGTCATATACTTGCAGGTTGTGAATTTCATAAACAGCAGCTTTATATGAGGGTTGATCTGTAAAGGCTTTGGCTCAGCCTACCAGGCAAATTGTTGAGATAACCGATAAAATCACTGTTTCAAACTCTCTTTAAAAATGAAATAAAATGGTTTCACTTACTAAACCTGATTTATGACACTGTTAAACTTTTGTTCAGCCAGACATGAAATTAATATTCATGGTTGAGGTGTCTACAGTCATACGTTTTAGCAGACAAATGTGTTTTTTTTTTTTTTTTTTGGCTTTAGAGGTTTGATTTTCTTTTATTTCACTCACACTGTATGTGTTTCTGTGTGTGTCCTCGTATGTGCCTGACCCCTCCTTGCCTGGCTGAATGCTGTGTAACCATTCCAGCGTGAGATCAATGTGAGGTACGACTGTAACGGCTTTTTATTTCATTATTTTTCTCATTGCAGCCAAACATTTGCTACACGCTCCCTGCTGTTAAAAAATGAAGATGGGTTGTGTTTAGGATTATCTGTAAATGGAGTGTTTGATAGTTTGGGCGTTTTTTGTTATACAAACATTGATTTTTCATTTTCTCTCACCTCTTACAAATATTAATTAGGGTAATTATTTGGTGTTTGTTACGGAAGAGGATTAGGGCCACCGAAAAATGTTGACTGATTTTTAAATGTTATTTCAGTTTAACATAGGAAAAAAGTCAGAATCTGTTTTAGCGACTAGCTCTCTTGTTTTAATGACCTTCTGCTCCTCCATTAATGAGGGGACCCCTAATTCTTTCATTTTCCACCAATGTGTCACTGGCCCTCTCAAACAACTCACATTTTTGTCAGTGAAGCTGAGTGCTCCCACATCTCTACCTTAATGGTGCCCATCTACATTAAGATCCAAAATTTTGAGATTAAAGTCAGAATTCTAAGAAAAAAGTCAGAATTCTGAGAAAAAAGTCAGAATTCTGAGATTAAAGTCAGAATTTTGAGATTAAAGTCAGAATTCTGAAATCAAAGTCAGAATTCTGAGATCAAAGTCAGAATTCTGAGATCAAAGT